CCCCCCTATAAAAGCATTTAAAATCATTTAAAAGGTTGATTAAGGGGTATGAACTCACCTGTAGTGAGTGGTTTAGATGGAAGTGTTGGACAAGGTGCTAGGTGTCAAGTGAAGACTTGAACACACATAATGATCCTACTCAACATATAAAGATATATATATATATATATATATGTGTGTGTGTGTGTGTGTGTGTATCTAATTAGTGATTATAACCACAATTAAGCAAGTATAAACACCCTAAAACGTGGAAAACACTTTGGTTCAAGTGTTAGAGGGTCATAGGGTTGCATCAAAGGGGTTTAAGGCATTGCTTTAGAGTTCACGACCTAAGGACCAACTCCCATGGAGTTTACGGCCTAGGGTTTACGACCCTAGTGGATTTACGGCCGTAAACCCATGGTAACTCCTACCATTTCGAAGTTTAAGGTCTATAGCTCAAGTATGAAGGGTTCTAGTCCAATATCCAAGCCCTAGGAAGCAATGGTGGCACATATGCAACACTTAATGGTGTTTACGGCCCAAGGTGATTGCCTTGGCCGTAAACCCATGTGTTCTTGGGCATTCTTGGTGTTTGTCAATGGTTTAACAAGTAATCCAAGCTTATAACTAGTTAAGAGGAGTGTACTCTCTTATAGGAAGCTTGTAAGAGTGTTTAAGGTCCAAGAACACTAGTGTGTGTTCTTGGTGTTTTGAAAAACACTTGAAGATCTAAGAAAAAAAAGAAGATTTCATGGATGAAATCATGTATAACTACTAGATCAAGTGTTATAACAACAAATCAAGAGAATAAACACTTACATTTTTGGAAGATTGGAAGGAAGATGTTATGATACTTGAGAGAGAATTGTGGTTGTTCTTGAACTTGGAAGTGAGAAGTGAGGAAGTGAGGAGTAAACTCATGCCTTAAGCATGAGTTCACGGCCTAAGTGGAGTTTACGGCCCAAACTCCCCAAGTTTGGCCGTAAACACCAGGTTAAGGTGTTAATTGTTTTATTGTTACACCATAATCCTAGAAAATACTTCCTTTTATTTGTTCGCTTGAAGAATTAATATTAAAACACCCAAACGGACTCTAAACCGAGCTAAAAATTAGCAAAAATGAGTTTAACTTTTAATTGAAGTGCTTGACTGTAGGGTTTGTACACATAGAAATTTCGGATTGTCACACCTAACGCCTTCTATCCTTTATGCAATGCTTTCGAAGAGAACGATGTACACATATTCAAGAACTGTTCCAAGGCACTGGAGCTTCAACGGCATAAACAGACTTGGTGGAATGATTTTCCTGCCTTAACGGACTCTTTAGAAGACATGTTGGAGGTAAACTCTACTGTAAAAGAGGGAAGTAGGTCTATAGACACCTTAGAAGCGATATCTAGAGCATTCTTATGGACTATATGGAAATATAAGAACGATATGATCTTCATCTCCAATACTAAGGTTAAGAGTCTGTTAGGAATTTGATTTGGGACTCTTGGATTGAAAACTCATTGTATTGTACCATGTAATTCCAAATTTTTGTTGTTTTGCTCTTAAAATTTTTTTTGAACTTCATAAACTATTTATATGCTTGTTCAGCTGCGTAGATGAGTAGTTACACAAAACACCATTAATGTACACATGAAAAAGTTTTAAAATATATTACGGACAACAAGGGTGATAATTCGGTAAAGCAGTTACATAAATTAAGGACAAATTAAATGGGGAAAATATTAATGAAATAGATAAAACACAACAGAAGCGAAAGTTCGTTGATTGATAGAGGAAAGGACAATCAGAAAGTAAAATCAATATAATATTGAGTTGGTGAATTTTCAAATGATATTAGGATTTGTATTTGACTTTAAATGAAGTCAAGAACAAGGATATATAATTAGAAAAGTCAAAACATGGTAAAAGTCCAAATCAATATGCACGCAAGTTAGGTATTAACACGATAAGCTAAACGAGTTGGTAAAACTAGAAAAGCAAATAATTTTCAAGGTTGATTTAGTCGAAGACCAGCCACCAGCAGACACTTTCTTAACGAGTACTATAAATATACATGAAAGTATCCATGCAAAGAGCATATACCCAAATACAAAACTAGCAACGTAATCAACTCCAATTCGTAGTACTCCCACAAACTTTTCCAAATACGTTTCGTTATACAAACACATCCATGAACATGCATGCTCTTTTCCTAGGGTTCTTAGTGATTCTTGGTTTCATCCAATCACAAGCAGCTTTGGTTCGATATACCTTTGTGGTAAACTTTGGTTCCCTAGCTATCAGTCATATAGGGCATTTTGGTTTTCTTTCTTGTGGAGTGAATTACTGCAGATAACTTATTATCATACTTTTTTTTTTCTTTGAAGGTACAAGAAACTAACTACACACGGCTATGCAGCACTAAAAAGATCTTGACAGTTAATGGACAATACCCTGGTCCGACCATTTCTGCTCGTAGAGGAGACACCGTTATTGTTGATGTTGTCAACCAAGCCTCCCAAAATATCACGATCCATTGGTACATGCATGTTTATGTTACTAATATAGCAATTGTTGGTTTTCATAGTATATATATAAGAATGATTTTTTGAATAATTAACATTATGAGATGTATGTAATTGTATACAGGCATGGAGTGAAACTACCAAGATATCCATGGTCAGATGGGCCGGAGTTCATCACACAATGTCCAATTCAACCAGGTTCTCGTTTTAGCCAGAAGATTATCCTTTCCGATGAGGAAGGCACATTATGGTGGCACGCACACAGTGACTGGTCTCGAGCCACCGTACATGGTTTACTAGTCGTCTCTCCCAAGATTGGAACTACTTTCCCGTTTCCTAAACCTCATGCAGAGGTTCCTGTCATCTTAGGTCTTTAATCTTTATCCCCAACAACTCTCCTTATATATGCATATAAATTAAATAATATGTCATTCAATTTCTACGCTAGCTCGAATATTTCGTACGTAAAACATATTGAATCAATATTTGAACATGCATGCAGGCGAGTGGTGGAAAAATGATATACAGACAGTGATGGAAGACTTCTTACGTAGCGGCGGTGATCCAGCTATCTCTGATGCTCTAACAATTAATGGTCAGCCTGGAGATCAATACAATTGCTCTGCTCCAGGTTCTTCCTTCGATTCTCATCTTTCATTGTGCAAAGTTCAAATATGTGACTAGCTAAATATATACTTAGCAAGATGTATTTTCGGATAGAATAATATGTAATACTTACGGATTCGTAATACTTGAATGTTTCCAGCAACAACCAAAGTAAAAGTGGAACAAGGAAAGACTTACATGCTTCGAATGGTGAATGCCGCCATGAACAACATCATGTTCGTTGCAATTGCAAACCATCAACTCACTGTCGTAGGAACTGATGGGGCCTACACCAAGCCGCTGAAAACCAATTACGTGGCTATATCACCGGGACAAACCATAGACCTCTTGTTAGAAGCAAACCAACCCCGCAATCGCTATTATCTGGAAGCGAAGTTCTACAACAGCAACCCTCGTAGTCTCTTTGATAATACCACCACCACAGCGATCATCGAGTACATTAATGGGAACTACAACGCATCAGCCACACCTTTTTCACCTCTTCTTCCCACTTTTAATGACCGAAATGCATCTGCGAACTTTACTAGTAGCCTACGAAGTTTAGCAAGCAGTGCTCATCCAATTGACGTTCCACTTGAAATCACGAGAAAGCTACTCTATACCCTGTCGATTAACAGATTGCCTTGTGCTACGTGTGTGGGAAGGGATAATAGGTTTGCAGCAAGCATAAACAACATTACATTTGATACCCCAAGGACTTCGATTCTTGGAGCTTACTACCGTGGAATGAATGGTGTTTATGGCGACGACTTCCCTGATAATCCCCCTTTCATCTTCAACTACACATCGGATAGTTTGAATACTTCGCTACAAACTCCAATGGATGGGACGGAGGTGAAAATTCTGAAATATAACGATACGGTGGAGCTTGTTTTCCAAGGAACAAATGTGGTTTCAGGGATAGATCATCCCATGCATTTGCATGGATATAGTTTCTATGTTGTTGGATCAGGATTTGGTAACTTCGATAGACAACGAGATCCTCTCAATTATAACCTTGTTGATCCTCCTCTTCAGCAGACAATTGCTGTTCCTCAAAATGGCTGGACAGCCATTAGATTCCGCGCAAATAACCCTGGTAATTAGTCAATTTCCTTCTAGTTTTAATTAAATTGTTAGAAAAAAAGAAAAAAGAAAATTTCAAATTTCATTTCATTATATAGTATTCTAATTATTCATGTTAACTAATATATTCATTTGATTATATACCTAAATCTTCAGGAGTTTGGTTCATGCATTGTCATTTCGAGCGTCATGTAAGTTGGGGGATGGAGATGGTATTCATAGTAAGGAATGGGAAGAGTGCAGACACAAGAATGTTGCCTCCACCACCGGATATGCCCAAGTGCTAGAAGACTTATTTATTTGTTGTCAAGATTATTATTTATCCCCAGTTTCTTTATCCTCTTTATTTATTTATTCTAAATAATCGGTGATATTCTTTAACTGTACGTTGCATATATATAATAAGTTGATTGATGAAGTAATTATGTACGTATTCATTATACGAATAAATAAAAGGTATTTACAAATTTATTGATGGATTTTTTGAGTAGTACTGATCGGTTCTTGAAATTGATTTTATACATTTATAGCATAATTAATTATACTTCTTGTTAAGTTATTCTTTAGGTTTGGTGTTTTTTGTTCAAAAAATTGGTCCCCTTTTTTTTTCTCATGTTTTTTGTACTTGAGAAAGTAGTTTTGTCATGTTTTTCAGCCGTTTAAACTAAAGGTTGAACAATTAAGTTCATGTAAAATGAGGAATATAATCTCAGCTAATTACGATATAAGCTAGTAAATACTTTCACTTTCACAATAAACTAGCTAGTAAATACTTTCACAAATAAATATGTTACAAACCACATTATCGAAATCGGTAACTAATTTCGCCAATATTGACATACATGCATGTTAAATAAAACAGAAAATTAAGTCAACCCTTTAATAACAAGAAGAATGACATTTTTGCCCTCTCAATTCTTTATTTCGTTTCTTGTTCATCCCTGGAAGGTTGAAAAGAGAGTACTTTATTTTACGCGGACGGGACCCCTCACAAAAGCTTACATCATTTCAGAAGCTCCATTCCTAGGAATGACTTTTGCACACAGCGGTTGCTTCATTTCACATGAGAGCTTCAAATCCTCAGTTAGGTCAACAGGACGACCCATGTCTTGAACCCACTCAAATTGGTGAACCAACTTAGCCACCCACTCGCTAACCGTAACCATGCCAAGGTTCATACCAGGGCAAACCCTACGGCCTGCTCCAAAAGGTGCCAGCCTAAGGTCATTACCCCTTACGTCAACATTAGAACCACCTGCAGAAATTAAGAACCTCTCGGGCTCAAACGTGAAAGGGTGATCCCATACGTCAGAATTGTGGGTGATTGACCACATGTTGACCATGGCAGTTGTGTTAGCTGGAATAACCATGCCATTGCTGAGGTGGACGTCTGATGTGGAAAGACGTGCCCATGATAGGAGGGGGCCAGGGGGGTGAAGACGGAGGGTTTCTTTAATAACAGCTTGAAGGTAGGGAAGCTTGGTTATATCTGCATGATCATTATTGGTGCTTTTGTTTTCTATAAAGCTGTCAAGTTCAAATCGAAGCTTGGATTGAATGCCTTGATTTATCGTTAATTCAGCCATGACCCATTCGGTTAGAAGAGCAATTGTATCAGTGCCTCGAAATACCATTTCCTAAAAAAAAAATCCAAGTAGAGAGATGATAAATTGTTGTTCCAGAAAAGGATGATAAAGCACATGATCTATTCAAATCAATAGCACATGATAACCATAATATTTGGTAATATATAGTAACATAGAACTTCATCTTAATTAAAGTGGTGATATGTAGTAGTTGATCAGTACTGACAAACGATTGAGAAATGAGAATTATAACAAATTAATGTGTCTTCATTTATAATTAGTTAATTAGTTAATTACATTCAAATACGTAAAAGATATATTCGATGTAAACAACTAAACATTAAATATGATGAAAAATATTTTTTTCTATAAAAATACGAAAGCTTTTAATATACAAAATATTTGTGGTACGTAACTAATTGATTGTGACGTACATAAATCTTTATTAACGGGAATATTTGGTCGGCAAAACGGATCTAGAAAATATTTTTTTTATTGAATCTTTTACACATAAAAATGTTTCTATCAGAAGACATTCTCTTAAAGCTTGAAAAAAGCATGATTAGTCTACGATAATCGAAACACACGTATATGGTCGGGACTTCAATATTTTTCTAGTGTTTTTTCCCGCTTTTTCCGACGTAGAGGGCATACAAAATTAATTTATTATCTTCGTTGTTGGCAAACAACATTTAGTCTTATTTCATAGGTCAACTTGAAAAAAGAAGCACCCATAACTTTCTAGCTTCTAGTCTTGAAAGCCACATATAATTATAATTAATAATTTAATAGAATGACCACAAATTCAGTTATATCCAAGTTAAACAATAATTGCCAAATATGTAGTATTTTGTATAAGTTTATACTTGGAAGATTTATGAAGTTGATTTACATCCACAATTAATTGAATTAAATTTTGTAGAGCATCATTTTACTTTTCATATAATTTTAACATTTTTATCCACAATTAATTGAATTAAACTTCATAGAATTTAATAGATTCTTATATCATCATTTCACTTTTCATATAATTTTAACATTTTCTTTAATATGCAATATTCAACTCTAAAAAAATAGATAAAGATCACTTATTTTGTAATGTTTTTTTTATAATAAAAGGCCCGGCCCTTCTCTTTTACTGTTAAAACTTCAATTGTCATAAACCCAATATATATTAATCTATTAAACAATCAACATATCATGTTATATTTAATTCTTTAATTAAAGTGTAAACTAGAGAATCCATTTCTTTCAACTGTTCTACTAAACAATATATTACAAATATCCGTACAAATGAAGACATTTATTTATAAAAGACTTGATATGACACAAATGGATAAATTGCTTTTATATACCAAAGGGCTTATATAGCCGGTATCAGAAATCTATGGAAAAATGTTTGGTGGTAAAAGACTGATGATTCAAGTCTCTTTTAGAAACAAATTACAAACATTTAGGATTACAACAGTGCTTAGTGTTTTGGTCATTCTTAAAAAAATTAGTTTTATACATGTAGTTCCAAGGAATTCCATGTGGACGAGTAAATGCATTCTAACGAATTGAACCTATATATGTATATATAAAAGGAAGAAAGATACTAACCCATAGAATGGCCACCATATCATCCTCACTAAGGTTGTCTTGGCCATCTAAAGAGAGCAAAACATCAACGAAGTCTGAATCGTCTTGGAGATTAACCGAGCCTCTGAGTTTGTGTTCATTTATTATCTTCTTGATGAATTTCTTGACTTGGGGAACAAGAGCCATGCATCGTTCCTTGATGCGAAATGGGTCATAAAAGTAGTTCAACCAAGGCAAATGATCAGACCAGTTGAATGCACCTAAAAGCTCAAATCCTTCTCTTACCATCTTCTGTAGCTCCATTGATTCATCAACATCCCCAACTTTGTTGTAGCTTTTGCCAAAAACAATTTCCATTATGTTGTTCAAAGAAGCAGCTTGCAAGTGCTTTCTTAATACAACAAATCCATGCAACGATTGTTCCTTACTAATATCATTTAGCATGGAGATGCATTCCAGGCTGCGTGCAGGTTCATGGGCGGAAATTTTCCTGGGAGCAAAGAGATGAGATGAGGCAACTTTTCTCAAGAGCCTCCAGTAGGATCCATTGGGTGCAAACCCAATAGCTCTGTTAAACATAAGTAACCTCGCCGACTGCTTAATAGGACGGTTGGAAAAGTGTTGGGAGGTCAAGATTTCACGAGCGGTTTGTGGGTCTGAGGCTACCACAGTAGGGGTGGACCCTAAGCTGATAGCCATGAGCTGGGATGCTGCTTGGCTAGTTTGAGCCATGGATGCAAGGGTTCGATGAGGCAAGCCATGAGCCAAACCAAGCAAGCTGCCAAAGATTGGAAGTCCTTTGGGACTTGGAATGGAAACAAAGCCAATACAGTTGCGGCCCCTTTTCCATGCTGGACCTCCAGGACATGACAAAGTCCACGTCAGAACTCCAAGCGTTATAAATGTTATTACAGCATACAATAGTAGTGTACTGGTGTTCAAGTTATAAGATTCAAACATGGCAAGGAGAGTATTACCCCTCAAACTGATCATGTCTTCATCAAGAAAAGAGCTTATGGTCGTTGCCATGGAGAATGGGAGGAAGTGTGTATGGAAGTTCAGGTTTTGTGGTATGGGATGATGTTCGATAGAATGATGGTTGTTTAAATAGAAGCATGTTGTGAATTAGGAAGCAATATTATTGTTAATTTTGAGAAGTATAAGATTTCCTAGATTATCTAAAAAGCTAGTGAGCAACCCATTGTGCTTTCGTGGGTATTACTTCTTAAGAAAGTTATATACCAATAAATGTGGATCCAATCAAAACCTTGATTTCATGGCCACGTAAATTATTTTTTATTAATTAGTAAATTGGGTATTTAATATCACGTACCACAAAGATTTCACTTAGAAAAAACAAATATATACTGGTCTAGGAAAAAGCACTCGTAAACACCAAATCATACCTGTTTGTTAATAAAGTCTTTGTTAGGTTAAAAGGAGCTTAACACCTTATATGTTAGTTTTGTTATATGTTAGTTTTTTGAGTGACATCTCATTTTTTTTCCATTTAACATCTAATCTTAACATTTGGTAGGGAATGGTAACACTCATAGCATTTTTTTTTTCTAATTTAATTTATTTACTTTATTTTAATAAACAAACATATTTTTAATATTACACAAATATTTTTTGATTTACTTAATATCACATAGGGGTGGAATTGATACGGTACCATGTATTTTTTTTTTCCGAACTGTGTACCATACCAATTATAATTGGTATGTAATTTTAGTTACCACTACCGTACCAAATACAGTTGGTACCAACTTAATTGGTCACCAGTAAGTTCGGTTGGTAATGATATATACCAACATGTATGGGTGTTTTACGAATTAAGATTTATATATGATATTGTGCACTTAAAAGATACATGTGAGTTTTGTAAATAAGAGTTTTCTGAATGGTTGGACTGGAAATTCGATACAAAAAAGATTTTATAATTTTGTACCATGAGTTTAAACTAAACAATAGAGTAAATGAGATATGTTCATATGAGTTTAAACTTTAAAAGTTACTAGACCGTAAATGCTAATATCAAAGCACTTGAACTCTTAATCGTCAAATACATTTAAAGTTAAAATATGCAATATTTTATTTATATGAAAAATAAATTTGTTGGTACGGTAATATGTGGCATTTAAAACTTTGTACTATTATCATACCATTATTAATTAATTGGTATGGTACTACCAGCCAAACATGTTGGCTACCAAACATATAAGCTACCAATATAATTGGTTCGCTTGGTACACATGTGGGTTGATTTTCCATGGTACATATTTGTCACCCCTAATATCACATAAAGTAATTACATTTTGGTTATCTTTCTTATGTTTGTTTGATTTGGGCAAAAGTGTCATGTATTGGGCAAAAATGTCATGTTTTGAGACAAAAATTCAACCTATAATGTGTTGTTTGATTCGATTATGTTTCTTTTATTTGGTTTAATTTATGTTTGTTTCTGTTTAGTTTTGTTTGGTTTGGACAAAAACATGTAATCATACTCAGTTTTCTGTTCTACTATTGATTCCATTCCCATCTCCACTTTGATTCCATTCATGTTTATGTCCAGCATTTCTCTTTTCTGTTCCTGTGCAGCTGCTTATCCCGTTGTATTATTGATTCTATTCCAATCTTCATTCCATTCCATTCATGTTCTAATCTTGATGTTACAATCTATTAAAAATGTCCAACTATAACACAATGGTAAAACTGTCCAACTATAACAAAGGAACCTAAAACAATCCAATTACTCACAAAACCACATTATCTTCATAAAAAAATATAAAGAAGGGTCAGAGCAAGCTGTAGAAATCATGAAAGTGTTTGAATCTCATTAGAAAATCATGATGCACTAAAATTGATCAGAATTATTTGATGATAAGAGAAAATCTAATTACTAGATTCACAACTAGTAATATAATTATTTTTAGAAAACAGCTTGGACAACCACTGAAAGAAAAAATCATCATGAATTAAGGTCTTTATGCTACATATAGAATAAATGATATATGAGGAATTTCATTGAGGAATTTCATTGAGCACTTGGTGTTCGTCTAAACACCATGGAAAGACACCGGTACATTGTAGAAATCAAACACATCAATAAAAAAAATAGAGTATAGGAGTTGATAATTCATTGAAATATGAAGAACAAAAACATAAACAATGGAGATGCATAATGGAATAGCAAAATAAATCAAGATGTAAAAAAGATGAATAAAAACCGAGGATGGAAGTTACCACAATGAAGGATCAAACACCTTTACTCCCCCCCCCCCTCTCTCTCTCTCTCTCTCTCTCTCTCTCTTCAAGCCAAGATTCTGGTGAGGCATTGTTGGCAACCCCCTTGGCGCTAGCCAGGGGGCGGTGTTCAACACCTTTGGCGACCGATGACGACCACACTAGCAAGGCCCACTCACTCTAGCCTTAGGATAAAAACAAATCATATCAAAACACTATGCAAAATGAAAAACTAAATCCTAATCCAGGCTTCCACACTTCAAATGTCATTCTAAAAAATGAATAAGCTTAAAATGTGTATTGCTATTCCGACCAATATATATATATATATATATATATATATATATATATATATATATATATTCAAATGAGAACAATTTTTATTTTAAGAACAAATGAGAAAAAGATTGTCTCCAAGGTGAAAATTTTGTGAGTAGCTCAAAATGGAGATGCAAGGACGATGGATTAAAAAAGACACGGGGGTATTATAGTAAATACTCATCCAAACCCCACCCGTTATACCTGTGTTGTTTATGTCACCTCATTTTCATGTCGGACCACCATCGAGACCATTGGACCTCCGAAGAACCACCCGATTTCCAATTTCATCCCAACGACAAGGAACTCATCATTCACAATATCTGCCATAAGTCCCAATCGACATCATAATTCGTTGGTTTCTCTCAAAGCGTACGAGAATCCCTAAATCATCATGAGTTTGCTATCACTTCATCTAGATCAGAGTACAAAGATCGATTGAACCAGATATGTTTATTACTTGATGAAAAAGTTTGATTTTGTTCGAATTAAGGATAAAACTATAATGAATTGGTATGATTTATTCAGATTTTTCTTAACTGATTTTTGTTATTATTGTTGCTTCATTACTCTTTCATTTGAGGTAATTTACTTCTATCTTGTTTCAATTAATCTCATAGACAGTGTGACAACTTATAGAATTTTTATGAACACCAAGTGTTCGATGAAATACCTCAATGAAAAAACTTCCACAAATAAATCAAGAACAAGGTGGTGTATTTATTGTTGCATTCTGTATGTGCTTGTTGATGGCTTTTTGCTGAAATAACATCATTTTGATGTCTCTATTTAATTTGTCTCTGTTTTTTTTACTTTTTTACTCCACTTTATTTCCCTAAACATTTTTAATAACTTGAATGTTTGGCTTTTGAGATTATAAAGTTGATTTTATAATCATGCATAGTTTTCCCGAACATATTTTGATGTCTCTGTTTAATTTGCCTCTACGTAGGACTCAATTTTCCTTTCAAGAGGTGACTTAAAGAGCTAAATGGGTTAAGTTGGCAACTTAGCCCTAATAAGTGTAAAAGTGGTATTTTATGTGAAAATCCTTAACTTTGAACCATCATTAAGCCAAGCATTAAGGCCCTTAGGTTAAACTTAATTTCACATTTTAAAAGCCTAATAAGTAACCAACTATCATATAAAAAGTGATAAACTTAAGGCTTAACCATTAAGTCCTTAATAGAACACCAAAAGTGATTATAAAGCTATTATGATCAATTTTCCCAAATCTTTCCTATAACTTCTAAAATTCGTGCAAGTAAATAAGAACACCTAAAAATCATGAGACTTAGTTTTCTAGAAATCTTAGTGTGTCTACTTTCCTCAAACTTTGAATCACATTTCGAAATTCCAAATCCTTGAGGGGTAAAATTGGTAATTTTCTCAGGATGGTCCATGTTGTCACAGATTTCATGCATTGTCTTTAAAAAAAATCATAATAAAACCATCAAAACTCCAAATGCCAAAATTCAAAATCCTATGGTTAGATATGGATGTATAGTTTCCCACATATAAAGGGACTGATGTAATTCTTAGAAGATTGATACAGTTTATTCCAAGAGTGTTGAATGGTCTAGAAAGTGATAGCTTAAAGTTACTAACCTATAAATTTAATTTAAAGTCAACCAATAATCATTAGAACGATATCTTTATATTTCTAAAAACATAGAATGGGGAAATTTACCAATGTTATTTTATCCAAATTTAAGAATGGGTTGAAATGTAAGAAAGAAGATCCCAAACAGATCACTGTAATCAAAAAGAAAATAAGGAAATATGTACATAAGTTTTATAAGAGTAATACAACAAAGCATAAGCCAAATAATGTTATAATTATTGTGTAGGTTCTCGGAAAGGAAATGATCAATCTTGCTCACGCTAGCTGATTTTCAAGTTCAATGAGGTGAGTTCTACTAACTCTCCTATTATGTAGGCATTTCTTGTTTTACATTATTGTTCACGGATACCCTAATCTGGTAAAGTGAACAAGGAAAGGAAGAATGTAGTTTGTTCTTTAATGAAACAATCATAAAAGATTCATTTTCGTGTTCTTGATTTGTTAATTATTCTTGTGTATTAAATCACATGTGATTATATGATCTAATCAATTATGACTTATATACACAAGATCATTTTTTTTTTGTTTTCAATTCAATAGTTGTTCTTTCTCCATAATAATCATATGTAATTAAATACATAAAATGACATATGAGTAAATACATGATAACAACTATTGAATTGAGAATTATTCACATAAATCGTATGTGATTAGATACGTATAATCACATGTGAATAAATACATGAGAACAACTATTGAATCGAGAACAAGAAATTAATATTTTCCATGTAAATTATATGTGATTAGATACATATAATCACATGTGTTTATGTGTATCTAATCACATATGATTTTCTGTGGCTAAGATTCATTTTCGCGTTCTTGATTCAATAATTGTTTTTTCCACTTTAATCATATGTGATTAAATACATTTAATCAGATGTGACTATATTTTTCTAATCACATATGATTTTATTTGGAAAAAATGAATCTTG